ACAAGAATCACAATGCGTAATGAAAAATAAACAAAAGAAACACACCAAAAAGGCGATGTATAAGTTATATATATATTATAAATTATGACTTAAAATCGACCTAAATTCAGTTAGGTTGATTTTAAATTATAAAAAATCGATCTAGCTGAATTTAGATTAATTTTAAGTCATAATTTACTAAATTTTAATTTTCAATATTTTAATTTAATTTTACAGAAAATGTCTTGGCGAGCTTCAGTGTTCAAGTACCTTCATTCGAAGAAGGATACTCGACTTTCTAGCTATGATATGAACAAATTAACCAAAGTTTTAGCCAATAATGACATCCATTCACCTGAGATGTCAGATCCCGGTAAAGAAAAAGACGAAAGAGGTTATCTGTATGTTAACGTTCACGGCTTGGCTTGGAGATCAAAAAAGGTATAAACTTTTTTTTCTGTTACACTAGCAAAAATTCGACCACCATTTGACTAATGTTCGGTATATCAAATGATATATATAGCATATTATTCGATATATCGAACATCAATCAAATAAGATAACAGGAATACTAATTTAACTAATTTATTTGTATTTTGATTTTTTTTTTTATTTTAATAGTTAACCGATTTGTTGCATGGTGTTCTTAATATAGCTGTGCAATTTAATTTCAAATGTCACCACCGAAGCTCATATACGTTGATGGCTCTTCGACCCGATAATCTGCCTGATTGGGCAGTAAGGGATGAATATGAGGATAAGGAGGATTAGGAGGATGAAGAAGAAGAGGATGAAGAGGATGAAGAGGATGAGTTAAATGAGGATGAGGGTTCTGATAATGATGGTGAATGGAGGAATGACAAAGGGAGAAGTGCCAGAAGTTATGATAAAATACTAGCTTCTAATATTATAGAAGAACCTTTAAGAAATCAAAAAGTTTAATTTTTTTTCTTCTTTCTTTTTTTTGTTTTTTTTCAAATTTTATTCACTTCTTTTTCTTTTCTTTTTTTTTGTTTTTTTCTTACTTTGTTTTTTTTTTTTTTCTTAAATTTGTATCTAATTTGTTTTAATAAATTTTTATAATATATTAAAATCATACAGAATTCGATTTGTACAAATGTTATTAGTAATCGATTGTCAATTATTAATCGACAATCGATTAAAATAGCCAATTCGACTTGAATTCGGCTATCGAATTTATACCAAATATTATTAGTAAGCAGTTGTCGATTATTAGTATTCAGTAGTTGATTATAAGTCGATTTATTGTAATTAATCAACTACCAAATAAAATGGCCGAATCGACCTAAATTCAGCCATCGAATTTATACCAATTTTATTCCGAATTTTATAAGTATTTGGTCGTTAATTATAAGTCGATTTATTGTAATTAATCGACTACCAAATGAAATGGCTGAATCGACCTAAATTCAGCCATCGAATTTATACCGATTTTATTTCGAATTTTATAAGTATTCGGTCGTCAATTATAGGTCGATTTTAATTATGTCAATCGGTTGTCGATTGAAAGTTTCGACTTGAATTTGGTTGCCGATTTTTTATTAGCATTCGACTGTCGATTTACTCTATCATTTGGTATAATATTGTTACGGAAAATTTCTTCGAAATTTTCCTTACCTGCATTTTTTTCCGTATAGTTCTTCTTTTCCATATGTATAAGC